CTGTTACGGTGCGTCTCAGGATGCCGCCTGCAGACCGTCACCGCCACCAACTTGCTTGGCTTCTCCAACGCTGCTTCGCGAGAAATGAACTGCCAAAAGTCATGAACCGATGGGCCTAACCTATCTATAGACTACCTAGACCTAGACCGGACTGACTGACCGACCGGTACCTATTTTCCCAGATTTGCAGATATGTCCCTCACGAATCTCCTTACAGGCAGGTCTCTCGGTTAGCCCTCAGCCAAACAAAATTACGAATCTAACCCTACCAGTTAGTGTACAGCCTCGCAGTCGAAATCAGCAAGTCAGTGCACCTGCTGCATCTCTCCTTCCATATAGACCACAGCGTAACTTTTCTGAGCATATCATACCATGTCTTCTCTGAGCTGTTGAGGTCAGTCGGGATGTTAGTCGACAGTAGAAGTTGGATGGAGTGTTCAGGAAAGGGTTTGGTGAACAGGGAGTCCCAGAGATCTGAAGCCCTGGCCCGGTATTATGTTGCTTCTTTGCATTGGATTAGGCGGTGAAGTAAGTCTTCCGGTTCATTTTCTGAACAAACTATGCACAGGTCGGACGGAACTGTTTGGATCATTCTTCCATCTACGAATATGGAGTCATTGGTTAACTGGTAGCGCTACATAGGCTATCAGCCATTGGAGACTCCTGATTTCGGCCGGTCTGATTGATTTGAATTTCTTCCATGGAATATGTGTGATCTGGTCTGCCTCTTGACCGATAAGTTTTTCCCATCTGCTTCTGATTATTGGTTCCGGTGGGGCTTTAGTCTTGAGGAATAATCTGTACCCCATCTTCGCCCAGTAGTCCTGGATTTCTACATTCATATATTTGTTCCTTCCTGATGTCCAAGCCCATTCTGCTGGGTCGAATTCCAAATCCTGGATCGCTGTGTCCATCCTAAAGATTATTTTGGGCCAGGAGCCCATCACTCTCACTTTCCCGAGAAGAAAGATGTCTAGATTTGTTCTTACTTCGTCCTTTTGTAGGATGGATGCCGATACATGCACCGACAACAATATTGGATAGGAAGTAAAAATTGCAACAGTGTTTGAGCCCCTGTTGTTTATGTGAGAATTGGTAGGGCCCTTGAGGGGGGCATTTCCTGGAACCGGATCCCCCATTCACCTGTTTTCCAGGTTGGCGGTCTCTTTTAACACATCTTTCCATCCTTCTGGAATGCTGTTGATGATGGTCTGCAGGTTTCTATCCCGTTGGTGGCAGCCCTTGAGGAGTGAGGCAAGGTAATGGTCTATTACCCATTCCCTTTTCTCTTCATCCCATAAATGTTCGATTTTTCACACTCCCGTGTTTTATCCAGGATAGCCAACGAGTGCCTCTGGGCTTGAGGGAGAATGAGTGATCACTTTCATCTCTCAACCAGGGGTTGCCAAACAGGGGTTGCCTCAGTACCTCTTCTTTCGTCTTGGGCTTGCCGACTTTTTTTGGCATGATTTCCCTCCAAATCCTTAGCAGAGCCGTCCAGTACGGTGTGGGGGATCTGGCCTCCGGGGGGTTGTTTCCTTGTCGGTGATTTCCGCGTCCTGTGTTGGGTGTCCATTCCTTATTCATCACCTAGAATAAACCCGACGGGTTTGTTGGTGTCGGTACCGGAGCTAGACCTCTAATGTTGTCCAGAGCTAGTTTGTTCCAGGCTGTGCCTGGTTTAGTCAGCAGTTTAATGATTTATTTGACCTGGAGGGCATTGGTTTCTTATTTGGGGTCGACGATACCCAACCCTCCTTTACTTGGTTTCCTCGTGATGTAATGCCATGCTATCTTAGGGATGCAGTTAACTTTACTGGGGTCACCGGACCATAGGTAGGCCCTCACAGTCCGGTTGAAGTCCTTGATCGAGTTATCTGGTACTGTCCAGATTGAAGCAATATACCACATCATTGAAAAGTACTGGACACCTGACTCTCTAAAACTCACACGACTCTTTAAAATTCACACGACCTCTAAAGGTACTAACGTTTCGTCTTCTTCTGCTCGGCCTACCGCTACTCAAGTACCTACGGGCCTAACCTACCGCTACTTGAGTGAGCCCCTAAGCTACCCCTCCGGCCCACTTGACTGCTTCCTCGCTGCAACCCTCAAAGTCACAACCACAGGTAAGTACCGGCCCCGTGGGCCTCCCCAACAAACAAGTGCCCTGGTGGGCCACACACACACTCAGGCAAACATGCACTCAGATGGACACACGAACCAGCAAGCACGCTCACACACAGACCTCAAAAACTCAGCAACAAGTGGAATCGCAGCAAAGCACACATTTCAGCGGGAAAACTCATAAATCACTAGTGTTCTCAGTCTGTGTTTTTGCAGGTCCTTACCAGAACCAAGGCCCACGCCTTGTCCGAACAGGAGCATCATGCTACATAAACCCAGTCTTAAACTTGCTTCAGACGGAGGCATAAACGCCTAGGTCTTCCTCTAGCGTCCAAGAGTTTAACGCCGGCCCCCCCCAGGGCCTGTGTAGAAGGCCCATGCATGCCACAGCAACCCTGCGCACTGCACTCGAAATCAACAGCAAAATTGAAGGCTAAACAGATGGTCCAGGATCAACTTCAAAATCAACAGCCAGCCAAACAACTGGTCCCTCAAATCAACAGTCAAAATGAATGGCCGGCCAAATGACTGGTCTCTGAAATCAGCAGTCGAAATGAACGGCCAAGGGGCCACCCAACGACACAGCAGGAGATCAAGCATCTGTACAGTGCATTGCGGACATTATGTGACGGCAGGGTGCCAGAGCCACCTTCCTCACTTTTAACAGCTACAGTGCAGGTAGTAATAGCTCGAGGACTTGTAGCTCAGCCTCCTACACCACAGATGCCTTTCTCTTTTCATTCTGTTTTCAGAAGGGAGCAGCCTGAAGCATTATTTATCCATGTGATTCCGTCAGGATTCAAACTCATGGCCTGTTGATCGACAGTCCATACATGTGTGTACCACTCACACACACGGGCTGGGTCTCTGGAACTTCTCCCCAAGCCTCAGCTTGGGTTACCCTAGCAATCTAGTGCTCCTGGATCTTCCCCTCTGACTCTCCATTCCTCTCTGCCATTGCTGCCATCTCTGTTCTCACCTCATCTTCAAGCTCCTGGACCCGCTTCTCCGCCTTCAAATCTCTGACCTCATCTTCAAGCTTCTGGACCCTCTTCTCTGCCTTCAAATATCTTAACTCATCTTCAAGCTTCTGGACCCTCTTCTCCGCGTTCAAAATTCTTACGTCATATTCCAGCTTCTCGACCCTCTGGGCGTGCTGTTCTCTCAATTCGTTAAGTGCTTTCATCCACTTCAGCTCCAAGTCAGACACCATCTTTTGGGTTGTCTTCTCCCAATCTGGAGAGTCACAGTCGGCTTTGTCTTTCATCTCCACAAGCCTCTTGTTCGACACTGATGCTGGCTCATCGGTGTCGGCGATTGGCGTGGGCGTCCGGGGTCGTTTTGCAGAGACCAGGGTCGTTTGCATCGTCTCTATGCCTCCCTTGTTTCCTCCTTCGCTCACTTTGCCCCCATTGTTTACTCCGCTCATCGCGATGTTCAGTACCAAGAACAGTCCTTCACGATCAAAAAGAAGCACATGATTGGAGTCTTTGCAAGGAGTCATGCCTCGTAACTCCAACTGCATCATACCTCTGTACGACGCCACCAGCCGATAGTTTGACTCGTCCCAGACCCTAATGTGACCGTCACAGGATGCGCCCAGTATGTAAGGCAAGTGCGGATGGAAGAAGGCTGTCCTGAGACCGTCACGGCCCACTCTCAGTTTGGTTACCTCAACTCCCTTCTTGTAGTCCCAGACTACTATGGTATCATTTTCACGCGCCTGGAACGGGCAATGGCATGACAACATAAGTGACTTCTCAGGTCTGCTGCAAAAGTCAACCCCAACTAACGCTTGACCAGAAACACCTAGGACGGTTTGGAGTCTTCGGATGCAAGACCGGGTGCCGATGTCCCAGATGTCTATTGGGCCGCATCGATAAGCAATTGTAAAGGTATTTAAGTCTGTCGGATTGAACATCACCACATCTGCCGAAAGCGGACCATTTCTGCAAGGCTCGATTGTAATCTTCTCCCAGTCTTTGCTCCAATCCCACAAAACTATATGTGTGCCAAAAAGAACCAATATGTAGGGTGCGTTGGGATGGATAGCGATCTCATGCACAAACAGCATCCCAACGATAGAAACATGCTCAAGTACTTGGACGCAGTGCAAATTTGAACCTTGGAGTTCATAAACACAGGATTTGCTACGAAAGTTTGCCACAATCCAACCTTTCTGCGCAATGAATTTTGCATCGGAAGAAAAACCCCGGTCCCAGTCAGGGATCACCCAGGAGGCAACACGCGTTCCATCCTTATAGCTCCACACTTCAAGAGTGTTTTCTGTACGTTGAGATCTGCAGAGGACCCAGGGCTGACGAGGATGCACATCAATCGACTTAAAATGCACTGAAGAGTCATCCTTCGACTTGTCAGATTTACTCACTTGAAACTCTGACACTAGTTGGACGCGGACATGCTTTTCTTCACTGGAGTTCTCCATGATGTTTGATGGCGAACACCGACTTGATGGGACTCTGACAGCTGCATGCCTGACATACCAAAAAAGAAAAAAAGATAAAATAGCCACACAGATTGTCAGTGGTCGGGCATGCTAACTGGCATTTCGTTAAAATTGACATTTTTAACTATTTTCACAAAATTGGGCATCCAAGAAAAAACTGTGTTTTTCAGCTTTTGTGCCCACGACATTGGACCATTGATGGTCTGGCATCCTGAGGACTCCGGACCATCTAATGTATCTCTACGTAAAGTACTGTGAAAATACATCTGAGGGTCATTAAAAAATGGAAAAAAATTGAGGCAGATCTCAATGGTCTGATGTGGTCGGCAAAAAAAAAATGCAAAAACATTGTCATCTATGTGGTTCATAGATTTAGTGTATAACTTGTGATTTGTGACATACTTAACAGCTAATTCCCTCTCTAAACTCATGACCCAATTAAATATACCTGGCAATTCCGTACTTAAGATTCCTTCCCATTCATCGTTATGTGGGATCGGTTTGATCAGTACCTTCGCCTTTGGTACTTGAATCTCATTCTCCGCCTTGAACAGTAATCGACGTCGAGAGAATCGTGTTTTTTTGGAAGATCAATTTCGTGAAAATAATAAAAAATGTCAAATTTAACGAAATGCCTGTTTGCTACACAGGAGGGAGGGGGGGG